TGAAAAGTATGATGTCATGTCTCTGGGCATGAAACAAGTCACCGAGACAGGAGTAGAATTAAGCAATGAAGAGAGGAGCCTTTTATCCGTTGCCTACAAGAATATTGTTGGTGCTCCCCGATCATCGTGGAGAGTCATCTCAAGTATAGAACAAAAGACTGAGGGAAGTTAGAGAAAACAGCAGATGGCTCGAGAATACCCGAGGAAAAGTGGAGAAGGAAATTGATAGAAATTTGCGAAGAAGTCTTGGCTCTCCTAGATAAATATTTAATAAGCAAGGCAAGTAATGCGGAGAGCAAAGTATTCTACTTAAAAATGAAAGGTGATTATTATCGGTATTTGGCAGAAGTAGCCACTGGAGATCAGAAAAACAAGGTGGTGGAAGAATCTCAAAAAGCATACCAGGAAGCTTTTGATATAAGTAAGAGTAAAATGCAACCAACACATCCCATTCGTCTGGGCCTTGCCCTTAACTTCTCCGTGTTTTACTACGAAATCCTCAATTCACCTGATAAGGCTTGTCAACTTGCGAAGCAGGTACGTAAACTGACATTAATCCTTTCCTCTCTTCTCTCCCCTTTTTATTTTCTTTCAAATCCTTTCGAATCATAAGGTGTAGTTGAGGAGTCACAGAAAGCATATCAAGAAGCATTTGACATTAGCAAAAATAAATTGCAGTCAATTCACCTCATTAGATTGGGCCTAGCTCTCAATTTCTCGGTTTTCTTTTATGAAATGCTTAATGAGCCTGATCGGGCTTGTCATTTTGCGAAGCAGGTAACCTGCTTTTCTCTGATAGTCCATCCTACTTCTACTCTGTGAAGCGGCTGTTTGTTTTTCTCAGTCTCTCCATCCACTCTCACTTACAATTTCCTCTCTCGCCCCCCGTTTTATCCGGCAAGTAGTTCCCACTCCAACTCTCTGACAAAAGTATATTGAGTACATGCAAATTAATCATAATTCTTACTAATCTAAACAACTTTACTTTTTCTTCTTGACAATCTCTCTCATCTTTTAGGCATTCGATGACGCCATTGCCGAATTGGACACACTTAATGAAGACTCTTATAAAGATAGTACGCTCATAATGCAGCTCCTCAGAGATAATCTTACGGTAAGTTGATTGTCAAATGGAGATAAACAATGTTCTGGTATTAATTTTTCGTTTCTCTCTACATTCTTACTCATTTCAGCTCTGGACATCAGATACACAAGGGGATGGAGATGAACAACAGGAGGGTGAAGCCAATTGATAGTCTAAAATTAAACCCTGCTGCTCCCTTTTTTTTCTTCTGTGTTCTATCTAAGGATAATCCTTATCATTTTTATCATTTCTTTCTTTTCTTCCTTAAATCAGAATATCCCCTGTATCAATGAACTACAATAATAAAAAAGAACAGTGAATGATTAACAGATTTCGATTTAGATCAACTGTTTGGATTATCTAATTTACGTCTGTGAATCAAACACTAGCTGTCAACTCAAATGTTCCCTGTGAAAAGAGAAGATTGATTATGGAATTGAGGAAATAAAGCTGCATCTTCATAACCGGTTGATAGAAGCAAAGTGTTACTATGCAAATAAATTATGAAGACAAAAGAGTTTAGATGAAAACAGAGCAATTTATATTTATTTATAATATCTGTAAATATGTATAGTTGAACGTAGTAGGTTTTTTAAATTTAATTAATTTATTACTATGAGTCTGTAATATTAGATTGATCACTGAATACCGGATAGGCTAAAGTCGTGTGGAGCATGTCATTGTGCTCTTCCAGAGAGGTTTGCTGATAGTGAAGAACAAGGCTTTTAAGAGTTGGATGAATGTTGTAGGGTTCAGCAAACCCAAATCCTCGTTCAGTTTTGTTGATCAAACAATGATAAATCTTGTCAACAACTATTGATAATGCGTATTGTCCACTTTGACGACGCTTACGGATTAAGAAAGTACCACTTGGCTTATTAGCTAGCATTCTGGTTGCTTCGTGACGGTCACAATCCTCAATTAACCAGTTACGCTCATTTTCATGGGGTAATGATTCTTTTTTTGGTAATGTTTTCAAATTTTTTATGACAACATAATTACATGCGTCAGATGAAGTAACAGTTGAAGAGGAAATGGGTGATGAAAGAGTAGAGGTTAAAGGTGATCCAATGTCATCGTAAGATGTTTCACTGGATGTACTGTTGGCTATTGAATTCATTGAGGCACAAAGTTCACCTGCAGTGATACCAGTGTTGATGACATCAGCTTCATCGAGGCTTAATTGCAAAATATTTTCAATGACCTCTTTTGAAACACTTTTGTTGGTCAACATTGTTTGCAGTATATCACGTTGACGATGAAGTTGGGTAACTTGTGGCTTGAGTCCATTCATTTCTCGATCCAATGAGCGACTTAAATTGGTTGCCGTCTTTAACTTGCACTCAATGTCACCTCTTTTACAGACCATTTCATCTCTACGTTTAGTCAAAATCCTACAATGATCTTCCATTGCTTTGATTTCATGTGAAAGCGCTTCTTTCTTTAGTGTTTCATTCAATTTGATATGAGCTTCCAGAATAGCGATTGTTTCATTAATTGATTCAAAGGCTTGTTTGTACATACCAATGTCGTGTAAAATTTTGTTGTACTGGTCGTGGTATTTATCATAAGAATTGGCAATAATGAGACACTGTTTATTTATTTTGATCAATTTTTCCGATAAAGCATTAATATCCTCTGATTCTGACTCTTCACAGACTTCACTTTTATCAAATCGGGAAACAGGATAGAGCAACTGTATATCCAATGAAGGGTGATATTGAGCCAATGAATGGTTTCGATAGTAAGAAATGAGATCAACAACTGAATCGAATGAACATGGCTCAGTAAAACCATATTTACCGTTTCGATAGATAATCTTTATCAATTTGTTACTTCCTCCCTTTCGAAGTGTTAAAGTGTATTCACCTGAACCTTTAACGGAAGCATCACGAACAAGAAAACTACCATCAACAGTATTCTTTAATTTTTCATTAACTTCTTCTCGTGTAATATCACCCCAATACCATTCAGCTTGAGTTAATACCATAATTTGTTAAAATTGTTTGAATCCAAAGAATATCAATAAAAATAGAATAAGAACAAGGTAACAACAATAACAAAAGTAGATGGCAAAGGTTTAACAATCAACTTGGAGTCCAGATGATTTCACAAAGTTAATTATTATTCAATTAGTTAATTAAAAGCATTTAGTTATAAAAAAATAGGAGATCAAATTTAAGTGTTCCGTGTAGATTTAAATTACAAAATATGTTCCAAGAAAAAACTAAATAGTTTTGTAACGTGAATGAAGAGGGCGATATCTGTCAGCTTTGGTATCAGCCTATTACAAGGCTTACTCGCTGGTTAAGAGGAGGAGTTATTTTATCGTCACAATCACAATTGTTAAAACTCGTTGAAATGGATTGCAAATTCATTGTGCAGTGATATTTAGGTTCGTTTTTAATTCTCAATCTTATGTTTGTAGTATTTTTCACCTTTTTTTGATTGTTTAAACCTTTCTCCAATCAACCCTTGGACACTACTCAACCCAGCAAATGTCTTTTAATACTGTTCACCGGCCTGAGAGAAGTGTTAAATATGCTCTTTTGGCCATTTCTCTTACTTACATAGTCATTGTTTACTCTGTTTACCTCAATTTTCCCAAATTGTCTGAGACTGAAAAGCTAAAAGTGAAAATACCAAAGAATGAAGAGGAAGTCAGAAATTTGGCTTCTGTTTTGGTTAAATATCGGGATAATAATTATTTAGTTTTGTTTTTCGCCATAACTTCATTGTATATTTTACTTCAATCATGTGCTATACCTGGCTCCATTATGTTGAGTCTTTTGTCAGGCTATCTCTTTCCATTGCCTGTAGCTTTATTTCTCATTTGTTTGGTAAGTGTTGTTGCAAAATTTAACCTTGTAAAGCCTGCAATAGGTACTCATTTTTTCCCATCACCCACCACTCTATCTGCTCTAAATTACAACTCGTTTATTAATCATGCTTCTTTTTTCTCTTGTTTTTTTTCTGTTTTTAACATCTTTTTTACTGTTTTTTTTTCTTGTTCTCTTTCTCTCCTTTTCTCTCTTTTTTGTCCTTCTTTCCCCAATCCACCTTCTCTCTACTTCATGATCATCGTCATAATCATCTGACTATCACAACCATCACCATCATTTTTTCCATCATCCTCATGTGATTGAACACACCACCATCAGTGCTCAGCCACTGGAGCATCAATTTGTTACTGTATTTCATACTGCTTCGGTCGAGAACTGGTTCTCAAATATTTTCCGGAACGAGCAGCCGAATACCGAGCAAAAGTTGCCAAAAACAGACCATTCTTACTATCATACATTCTGTTTCTCAGAATAACCCCTATTATACCGAACTGGGTCATCAATCTTGTTTCACCACTCATAGATGTACCTCTTTCTACTTTTTTCTGGGCCACTTTCTTCGGAGTAGCGCCACCCTCATTTCTTCATATACAAACTGTTAAAACATTAGAGAAGATTGTTTCCAGTGATTCTTCACATTTTAGTTATTCCAATCTTGGCATTCTTTTGATTTGTGCTACTTTGGCTCTTTCACCAGTCATTTATAAATTTAAACAGAAAGGAGAGAAATCTGTGGAAAACAACAAGTCAAATGAATGTTTACATGTTGGTTAGACTGAATATACCAAATCATCGTCATTGAAAATTCAATTTTTAAGTATTTACCCTGAGTGAAACTGGTCGCTCTCTTATTGGAGTTGATTCAATTTTTGCTGTAAATAATGTAAAAAAACAACAAATAACTCGTGTTAAAACTATTTAGGTTTCATCCTAAATGTCTGATCTCAGAATCATTTTTTTAGTTACAATATCAGGTCCATTGTAATCGAAAATTGATTAAACTGTTGAATTTAACTATTTTCAAGTTTCGACAATACACTTAGTGCCTGTCTATTGTCGAGACTAAATTTGGTTTGATTGATCAACCTATTAATTTTTGATGACTTTTACAAACCCTTGCTTTTGTATTATATTTATGTTCATCTAATTGTGACCTCATTATTAGCTCAATTCAGGCCTTTATAATGTTGCATTAATCTGAGCAAAAATCAAGATTTCTCTTTTTTTTATAAATTAAATCGACAGAGTCCAAAGAATAATAACATTCATATCGTTTCGCTATTTAATTGCAATCAAATTTTAATTCAAGTTTCAATACTTTATTACTTTGTTATTTGGTCTCCAAAAGATCGATTGTTACTATTAATATTTAATTATAATCACCTTGATATTTCACTTTTTTTAGATTTTAAGATACATTCAAAATGAATAAAAAAATAAATTGAAGTCTAATTTGCACTGAAACGCTATCAATCGAACAATTTTTTACTCTAATTTCTGAAGAAAGGTAATGTTGTACCTGATGAAACCTACTCAAGAACTGAGCAAAACTACTCAATAGATTATCTTATATCACAGAAAAAAATCCTTATTGAAATCGAAAGCTCGAAATACTTGGAGAGATTATTTAGAAGAATAGACTTAATTGTGTTGATTTATTTAAATGACGTAAGCATATTATGTTCAATTGTACAAAGCAATAAGATAACAAGAGAGAAATAAAAAGATCGAATATCTGGTTTCTATAAATTATCTCTTAATATCAGATCTTTCATTGTAAGAAAGGAATTATTTTATGTAATCAAAGCTAATTTCATTATCTGATTAACGACGAGTTACCCATCGATATCTGCTGTTACCACATTGTAACATGTATCCATGATGATTGAGGTATTCGATCATTTGTTCAAATTTAGCAACTGGTGGGCCATTTCGTGCTATTGTCCATAAATCATCATATGTAAACTCAGTTTCTGGATTGCTGTGAAAGTACTCTTCAAGATAACGGACAAATCTTTCATTAGATGAACGACACCGTTTATTTGCTAATCCAACTAAACCTTCATTAACCGGTTCAATGGAACGTCTAACTGAAGACTGGCTTGACTGACTATTCAGTGAAAGGACGTCTTTTGGGAAGATATCGGACCGAGTATATTTGATTAACTCAACAATATCCAGGACATCACGCTTGGTTACAACTTGCTTTGCTTCAAGCCTTGCTCGAGCTAAACTCAATCTCATCAGCGATGCCAATAACTGGTTGTCACTTGGATGTCCAATTGGTCCAACAATTCCTCGATAAGTTTTTTCTAGGTATTCTTCGTAAAATCGGAATACAGTGGCGTGAGCTTCTTCGTCAAATTTGGGAAAGATTTTGGCACGAACAAATTGAATATATTTTGTGAGAAGTTTCCTGGGTAATAAATCCATTGAATCTTTGTCTAGGGAAGCAAGTTTAACTTTCAAAGATTGATTAGCTTGGTCTGTAGGTGATTGACTTGATCCTCGATTAGATTGCTGTGTTGATCTATTAGATGGTAATCGACCTTCTCGGTTTTGAAGAACTCTTTTGGTGAAACTGCGATCAGTTTGGTGATCAGGTTCATCAACCAAATGAAAAATGAGATCAAATTGATTTAACATATCAGATGGCATCTTTATATTTTCATAAAGTGTCTTCTCGAGACGATAGGTTCCTCCAGCTGGGGTAGCAGCAGCAAAAATGGCAATTTCCACAGGAACTGAATGTACAAATGAGTTCTTATCAACTTGGAATATTTGACTCTCCATTATTTCATTTATAAGATTCCATTGAGATTTCATGACATCTAAATCATCAATACAGCAGACTCCTGAAAAAGAAGAAATTTAATAAAGAATCTTGAAATGTGTGAGTAATTGCTTTTGGTGAGAATAATTTACCCTTATTTGCTTGCAAAACTGGACCTGCATTGAGCACTTCTTCACCCTTTTCAATTTTTACATCGAAAACCAAATTCTGTGTATAATTTTTATCGGCATATGAAGAAACTGGAGCAACTTTATGAGCAGCATTTAATAGTTCTTTTTTGTCTTTATTAGGTGCACCCAATAATAAAGTGTGAATTTGTCCTCGATAAGGAACGGGGTCTTCTTCATCATGACTATCTGATTCATGGCCACCAATCAATGAAAGCAATACACCAAGTTTAACCATGTTGTTACACGATACTGAAGGACAGAAAGAAGCAGTTACAAGTCCTAAAATGTCTGGTTCAGCTATTATCGCCTGTAATAAACAACGTAAATTTCATTAGAACTAGTAAATTGAATGGACAAACGAGGAATTACCTGTATCGCTCTCAAAGTTTTGGAGTCAAATTTATCCTCAGTATTGATTGATAAGCTTGAAGCTAACATATAAAAGCCACAAATTCCGGTACCCTCGATATTTTTCGGTTCAACAATCACTCCAGATATGGTAACTGAGTCCATAATGAAGCACTTTTCGATGAGATGGTTGATTAACTTTATGGAAATAGAAAAAATACTTATTTAGTAACATTAGTAACACGGAAATGGAATTGTAACTAACCTGAACTTTAATCACATGAACTTGCTTTTCGCCTGTTTTAGAGTTGTATCTAGTTTGTATGACACTAATCATCTGAGAAGCAACCTTTATGTTGGCATTTTTAAGACGAAAGAACGTAATAGGATTACCCCGTGATGATTTCTCGGTGTTGGTTGATTGAGCATTACATTTGGTGGAATGACAAGTCACTGGAGTTTGTAGCTGGCCCATAGGTTGAAGTACATATTGAAGGCAACCACAGTTTTCACATCGAAAGGTTGCCTCATAAATAGCCTGACTAATTTTACCAACAGCGGCTATTGTACCAGTAATAGTGACAAACTTATTATAATGAGGCGGTGAAATTTCTCCTATTGGTGTAATTTTTGTAAAACCAGTACATTCAAACCACAGTCTTCTGAAATTATCAAAATTGAAAGCTTGAATTTGACTCGATCGTTCCTCAGCCTCGGAATCTTTATGACGTTTGTAAACAAGATGAGTGGCAAGTCCTAAATACTTGAAATAATTTAACGGATCGTTTACCAATTTCACAGCAAAATCTTCATCAATATATTCAATTTGGGCAATGTCAATCGAAAAATAGCCTTCATTTTCAATGTTATCCAAATGGCTACCCTCCATGGGTACCAAGCAAGTAATCAACTTTTCACATTGTTCCAAGGCTTCTTTAAATTCACTATTATCAAAAACTTCTCTTGGAAAGTAATTCTCGATCCCAGGACAGTCCAAATCTTTATTTACCTCCCGAGCACTCATGATGAAAAACGAAACACTAAACAAAAAAAATCAAAAAGAGCTTTCAATTAATAAAAGAAAAACAGTTTCACATTGCTAAGCATTGTTAAGCATTGCTAAGGAAACGTAAACAAGCAAGCCAGTTAAGGGATCGTTACCTAATAATAAAGAAAAATTGGAGGCAAAAAAAGTCTAAAAGATTAATCAAACATTCAAATATAAATCTAAATTGAATAAAATTTAAATAAAATAAAAGAAACAATAAATAATAAAAGCCAACCATTATCGAGTAAAAAGCGAAACAAAATTACAGCCAAAGTCACTTTAAAGTTTATCGCTCTAAAGCTAAATCAATTATCCATTTATTATTCCAATAAAGTTGCCATTAAATTGATGAAATAAGCCTGATAAAAGTACGAAGTTAACCAAGGTGGCTAACTATTAAGTCTGACTATTAATGCTAACTGTGAATAATAACAATATTTAAAGGCAATCAAGTAAAGAGTCGATGAGAGATGATGAAGAAAAGGCTGAGGAAAGTGATAAATAGTGAGAGTTGTTATGCCAACCAAAAGGGAAGGATAAAGGATGAAAAGGAAGGCGAATGAATGGAAACTAATGTATCCTGATTGTGTGGTGTAAGCATGAGCTTAAAGTTTTGTCAATTGGCAGAGAGGCAGATGAATACGCCAGAGTAAAATGCTTCATCCTGATCATCCTCATCATCATTCTCACTCACTTTTTTATCATTATCTCGATTCCCTTGAACCGGTAACTTGAATGGAAACCATTGAGAGGTAAACTTGATTCCTCTTGGCTCTTCGTTTTTTATTTATTGTACAATCCGTCAAATAAATACATATACATACGTTTACCATTTGAGCAAAAATAATGATTCTCCTGACTTTTTCATTTATGATTCTTCACCATCTTTTCCATGAACGATGTGAACAAGACTGATGACGATGATATTAATAGTTAACCGACTCTGATAGTGACAGTGATGATGAAAAGAGGACAACTTTGATTCTTCATCTTTCCCTTTGCGTTCATTTTACACTAAATTTTGTCTCCATTTCATTAGTTTTTTGTTTCAAAATTTCAATCTTTTTTTGTTCAATAATTTCAAGTTGAAAAACTAAAGTTGAAATGTGCAACAAAGTTTAACCTTTAAGAGTAAATTTTGACCGCAAAAGTTGAACAACATGAAATTGATACAAGTTGCTTCATTGTTTCAATTACTGTTAACATTTTCATTGGGAAAACTTGATTCTCCAGAAAATTTAACTCAATTTTCAATTGAACCATTTGTGTTGACCAACTCCACTAAAGATGAAAAGGTTAACCCAAACAGACGGACAAATTGGGTTGTGATTAACTCTACTCTAGTCAACTCAACACTCGATCAACCAAATGGATTGACATTTGTCCAATCGAATGGCCATTTTGTTAAACGAGGTAAGAATCGATTTCGTTTAATTTTTTTCTCTTTTCTCTCGTTTCAATCTCCAAATTTTCAGTCTACTTTTACTGTTACTTTTGCTTCATTTTTCATCATTAATTTTGTCACTTTTGTTAGGCATTTCATTATTTGGTTTCAACAAAATTCCAGTCAACACTCTATTAAGTTGATGGTTAAATCTTAATTATCTCATCAAAAATAATTGTAACTGTGAATTTAAATTCTGACAATTGGGTGGAAAGAGTTTCAAAAGCTGAGAAGAAAATAATTGGTAAAGTTGATCTTTAAACTCAACAATTATAAAAGTGGTTCAAGCAAAAGTAGTTACATTTAAAGATGAACACTTCATCAAAATCATTTTTAAAAAACAAAAATTTCTTCGATTTTTTTATGAAGAGTTTTAATTTTCTGCTAACGAACAGATTAATCAGAATAAAAATTCTCAAGTTTTGTTCTTGCTTTGTGAAGTTCAATAAAATTTATTCAAAATTTAAAATGTCAGATTATTCTCTTATAACATTTTCAAAAATTTGAATTGGAAAAATCTCCAGATTTGCTTCGAATGAAACTTTTCTCAAAACAAATTGGTCAAACTTTCATTCTGTTCTCATCCATGTTCAAAATGAATTCAAAATTTCTTTCAGTAATAACTTGTAACAAAATACTTCATGATACTCCAATCATGACAACATATTAAAGAGCTTTCACTGAATCAACTTATTCGTCAAACTTTGAGCGCAAGAATTTCATTTTGCAACTCATTTCATCGATTCTGAAAATTTTTCGTTCGGTCGCCCAAACTCGAAGATAATTCTTTACTTTAAAGATTGACATTGCGTTTCAAAAGTACTTTTGATTAGAACTGAATCTCTAGTACAAAGAAAAAGAAAACGCTCATTTTCTGAAAGAGAATGAAGTTTCGAATCGGCAGAATTTTCGGGTATAAATTTTTCTCTTTTGATAAAGGTTGGGATAAAATGTTCAGTAAATAGCTTTTTACTGAAAAGATTATTTCCATCGAAAATTTTTGAGCGAATTTCAATTTTTCAATTTTTTCTCCATTTCTCGAAATTTATTCATAAAGTTTGTTTATTGGAAAACGATTATATTCTGATTTCAGTTGAATATTTCATGATGCATGAAGAAGAATGGAATGATTTTGAAAACTTCTAATGATGGTCGATTGATTAAACTTTTTTGTTTAGCCTTAAGCGAATAGCGAAATGGTATTTTTTTGAGATTTAATTTTTACTTTGGACAAGTAACTTTTGTTGACCCGTTTGCAAGTCCAAATATTGAACCTTGAAGGCACAAATGACCATTCACTTGAACAGTCAAAGTTAACAATTTGTATTTGTCTGGACAAGAACAAAGTTGAACAGAAACGTTCGATTGGAAACAATTTTTCTTTCTTTTCTCTTTTTCTTCATCTGTAAATATTTTCTCAAATCTCTCATTCCCATACAATTTTGCACTTCTTTTTCAAGTCAATAATGACGATAATAAAGAACTGGTCAGTTGAATTGATTTCAATAGTTTCATTTTATATTTCCTCATGTTTGTATTAACAGAATGTGCCAAAAATCGAAAGGAAAACGTTGAGAAAAAAGAAGAGTGGAAAAAGAGAAAAAACGAAATTCTCAAATGAATAGAGAGAAGAGTTTTTTTACTCTTATAAAGTGGACATGAGATGGTCAAGAGCCATGTTAACATGTTATTATTTCCTGTTCATTCAATCTTTATTGGCCTTTATCATAGTTAAACAGTTGCAAACAAAATGAACATTCATTATCATCATTTAATGCAATAAACTTCAGAGTTGTAAAACTCGATTGACTTGGAATCGAGTCAACAGAAACTTCGCACTGACATTTCACAAACAATATTCAAAATCTCTTCACGCTTCGAAATTCCAACTTTTAATCAATTCTTCGTTTACAACAATCATTAAAATAAATAAATCACTCCAAGGTTCTTGTTCGAATTTTCACAAAACATCAAAAATTTGCAGATTTTTTCTTCATCAGTTAAGTCTTCGACAAACTTATTCAAGAACAAGTTTGAATAAAAGTTCAAGAGATTCATTTTTAGACGATTTACAAAGATCTTGCAGTGAAAAGCGCTTTTGCAAAGTCGATTGGAATGAACCCAAAAAATTCGTTGAAAGTCGAACGAAGTTGATCTCGGTTGGCCCAGTGAACGATCGTTCAAAATTACTTGCGAATCCTTCGATTTTTCAAAATCTAAGAACAATCTTTTGCTTCGTCATGAGATTTTTCTTGATGTTGATTAACTCTGATTGATCTTTTAATTCCGTAATTCGCTCTGGCATTTATATATATATATATATTTATATATATATTCGCTCGAACGATTTGTATATCTTGAACAGAAAGCAAAAGAGTAAAGCATTTTGATTTTCTCTCATTGATATTTTTTCGTTTACAACACTTTCGAATCTCTTCATGGAAAAAAGTTTCTCTGGATAAGATTTTAGTAAAGACTGAGAAAACGCAATTTATGATCAGAGTCTATCCTACTTTATGCTTCGACATGAACTGTCAGTATTTTTGGAGCAAATATTTCATGGAGTTCAATAGATCACTGAGCTTCTTAGATTTATCAATTTTAGCATTTTCATCCGAATCCAGTGAAATCAAATTAATGAAAGTTGTGCTCCTTAGTTGGTGGCGTTCAAGAAAAGCTGGACTTTTACCATGAGAAAATACAAATAGAGTTTCCTTGGAATCGGAAAATTTATTCAGCCTTTTATTGATAATTTACCAATAACTTACTCTTGAGAATTGATAACAAGTTGATAAAATTCTGATAACTTGATAATCGATGATATAAAGTATAAAAGATGAATTCTTATCAATAATAAATAAAACATATTAATGTATATTCCATTGATTTCTTCTTCTTCTTCTTCGCCTCTTCACTTAAAATAAAAATAATAAAAACAACGATAACAATAAGATAAAAATGTCTACAGATGAAGAGCCAAACAACTTGCCAATATTTAATTATCAAAGAGATGTTGAGTAATTTAGAAATGGTAAAAATGTTAATGTTATTGGTTAACATTAACAGGGGAAAATGGAGTGAATCTTGGATGATTCTTAATTTGGAAACAAACTCATGTTCAACTTGGAATACACTTAGAATCCATCAGTTTTATACATAAATACAGATAAATATATAGGTTGAGTAGTCGAGTAATAACATACACTTTCATCATCATCATCATCATCATCATCATCTTCATCGTCAGACTTTTTCCTTTGCTCAATAAAAACTTTCTCCAGGGAATTCTGTTTCTCACCAATATCATTCTGATGATCATCTTTGAATCGATTTGGTGTGTTACCATGTAAATCAAGAATCGTAAGCAACTCTCTGATATTGTAATTTTTGTGCCTCTAATCAACTTTTCCCTTTACTTGCAACTTTCACAATGAAAAGGCAAAATGTTACTATTAATCAATTTAATCAAATTAACCATTCAATAGCTTTCTTCTCTACCTACGATTGACCCGAGGATAAAATTGAAATTCAACCGTGAAATGATATTAACGGCTGTCGCCACCATATGAATAATGAATACTCTCTTGAAACAAGAGTTCTTGGTTAAAGACGAAATTCTGATATTCAACACTTCTAATCTCACTCCCAGTCTCACTCTCAGTTTCTACTCCCAGTTGTCACTCCCGATCAATTCCAAGTCCAACTCTTAATCCAACTGTAGCCTCACTCTCATTCTCACCCGTTCTTACTCCAAGTCCTTACTCCCAGTTCCTACTCCCAATCAATCCCAAGTCTAACTTCAGTCTCGCCCCAGTTCTCACTGCAAGTCCTTACTCCCAGTCAATTCCGAGTCCAACTCCCAGTCAGTCTTGAGACGAACTACCAGTGTAACTCCCAGTCAACTTGGAGTTGAACTTGCAATTGAAGCCAGGACTAAACTCCCTGTGCACAATTCCCTGATAATCTTTGAAAAACTATCTAATCTCAGTTGGATACAAGTTGAAGGGTAACAAAAAGGCATTTAATAAGTTTACCCAAGTTGCAAGTTTGTTTCTAAAATGCATAATCACCATTGTTTTTGTTGAAAGTAAGAATGGAAATTAGATTCATGGTATGCTTCTTGTATATTAATACATATAAATAATCTTAACCTCGTTTTTCCTCTTTCTACTTATTCTTATTATTACAACTCATTTTCCTGATATTTTTCTCTTTTCTCTCATTTCGATTCTGTTCATCTACTTTGCAAATCGTACCATTGCTCATTATGCTTAGAGTTACTCATTTTTCTTGCCTTTTCCTTTCCTTCATCCCTTTTTCATCTTCTCTCAATTTCTCTCATCTCTTCCTTTCACTTTCCTCTTGCAAACTTCACTGTAAGATACAAAATTTATTCTGACTTGATAGATGTTCAGAAAGAAAGAATTAACAGATTTCCAACATTTACCTAGAATAAAGCAAATAATCAGACAGAAGATCATCTTTTTCATGAACAAAAAAAGTTGATGATCATGATACAAGAAGAAAAACGTTGCAAAAGAATGATGAGCTGAATGAAGAGCTGTTGGTTTCCAGTCGATTAAGTCAGATAAAATCATTATCCTCATCAGGTTACCATGTCTTAAGCAATTATGTGAAACAGACCTTGAAAATCAAAACTAATATCTCACTCATTATCCTCTCATCGCAAGCCTTGTTACCTCTAAGTCCAATCGTATTGAACCATCTAACCTGAAACGGGAAAAGTTGATCCAAAGCTAAACCTAAAACTCAACCGATTCAAACTCAAGTTATGTAAATGATAAATAACCTTTACCATCGATGACAAGAAAAGGATTGAACTCGCAAAAAGGAAAGTGAATCAAGACAAATAAGTTCATCTCGAGTCTGAACCATTTTCTCGCCTCAATTTTCAGTTCAACATTTTCCTCATTCATCCTCTTCCTTCCTCCATATTGTTGACTTTCTA